TGGACCTCCTGGAAGGAGATCAATACCCGAGAATTCAGTCGACGAGAGTGTTATTTCCATCAATAGGTCTATGATGAAGTTAAACAAAAATGGAGAAAGTGGACAGCCTTGACGGACACCACTTGAGGTTGCAAAAGTAGATGACAGTTCGCCATAAGCCCTGACTCGACTAGAAGTGTTCGAGTAAAGAGCCTTCACAAGGTTTATGTACTTCTGAGGTACGCCTTTCAATGACAGACACTGCCACAGAGTCTCGCGGTCTACAGAGTCAAATGCTGCTTTTAAGTCAAGAAAGACCACCATCGTCGGACGCCGATAGGTATGCCTGTGTTCTAGAACCTGACGAATGGTGAATATGTGGTCGATGCAGCCACGACCAGGTCTAAAGCCAGCTTGGTTCTCTCGAGTTTGTAGTTCACGAGTCTTAGTTAGGCGTTTGATAATTATCGAGGCCAGTATTTTAGATACTATGTTTGTTAAACTAATCCCTCTGTGGTTGTCACAGGATGATTTTGACCCTTTCTTATATATTGGGACGATAAGTGATTGCGACCAGTCAAATGGGATAAAGTCTAATTCCCAGATCTTAGCTAAAATATTAGTCAACCTAATCGCTAAAATTGGACCACCATCCTTAAAGACCTCTGGAGCCAATCCATCTGGACCAGCTGCCCTTCCTCGTTTCAGATTAACTATAGCCTTTTGAACTTCAGCAAGAGTCGGGGGACCTACTTCAATATTCCATTCACACTGTCTGGGAATGGAGGGTAGTTGTAGAGTAGCTGAAGGCCAGCTGAACTGTTCCCTAAAGTGTTCCGCCCATCGTTCTAAACGCCTGGACTTGGAGCAGATGAGTGTATCGTCTTTTTCCGATATAATCTCACTTACACTTGACTTATTAATTCCAGTTTCTTTTATTAGTCTGTAAAGCTGTCTTGTGTTCCCTATAGCCGCCGCCTTTTCCATCTCTTTTGCTTTCGATGCCCACCACTGCTCACGGTCGTTTCTTAGGCTTTTTCTTAACCTAGATCTGATTTGTTTTCGCTCTTCATCATGTTCAGAACCTGATGGGACGAGTTTGCGAGAATCCATCAGTGTGACAGACCTTGAAGAAATCCACTGGTTCCTTGCAACTCTGTGGTTTAAGTCACTAATAGATGTCACTGCTGTTTCCACAGCTGATTGTATGCCCTTCCAAGCAACATCTGGGTCAGCCTCGTCTTCACAACTACCTAAGTGTGACCTCAGTTGTTCCTGGAACCTACTTTTGGTTTTCTCGTTACTCAATTCAGTTCTAACGGGTCTTTTTAATGTGGCTTTTTTGCGTCCAGTGAGGCGCAAGCAGATGCGTGCCCGTATTAGGGCATGGTCGGAGTCCAAGCAGGTACTCCAGAATGAGCGACAATCTTCTACCGACCCTCTCCAACGATGACTGATGGCAATATGGTCTATTTGAGTCCATCGTTGGTTTGGTGTAGGGGGTCGCCATGTTAGACGATGTCTCTCCTTATGCTTAAAATTTGTGTTTGCTAAAAATAGACGATTGTCTGAGCATAGCTGCAGCAGACGATCACCATTATCTGTTCGCTGTGTCGGAATACTAAAATATCCACCTAAATGCCTTTCTGTTTGGTTTAAACTGCCTATCTGAGCATTAAAATCACCTGCTACGAGTACTATGTCTGAGCGTTTAGCTTTCTGAAGAAGTTCGGACAGCTTTCGGTAAAATTCATCTTTCACATCATCTGAGCTGCAGTCAGTGGGAGCGTAGGCAGAAACGACAAAAAGGCAACGACGTGTGTCCCTATCCTTCCGAGTTCTTACGTAGCCGTTCAGCCGAACAGCACATAGACGACTGTTGACGGGGATCCACTCTAGCAGTGTTTGTTCGGCCCTCATGCTTAGTGCTATGCCTACACCTGCCAGTCCACGAGAACTTGCCATCGGGTCACCAGATACACGAAGGGTGTACCTCGTTGGCTCTCCGTTTTGCCGAGGTGAGGTCAAGTGAATGACCACACTGGAATCCTGTATGCGTGTTTCGGAGACACAGCACACGTCAATGGTAAGAGACTCTAGGGTTTTAGCCAAGGAAGCCTGCTGACCGATTTGACATAGGGTTCGTACGTTGAAGGCTCCAATGTGTAGTTTGGAGCGAGGTTTCAGTAGACCTGGGACAGTATTTTGCGCACTAGAATCGTTGGCTATGGTGACACTTGAGGTGGAAGCCGAGAGAGGAAATTTAGAGTTGAAAGTCGATGTAGGAGGAATAATAGGAATTGAAGAGGAAGGTTGATTATGAATACAGTGGTCTTGAGTGCTGTTAGAGGTATGAGGGCGGTTTTCACTTCCCGGTTGCCCACACCGTGGAAGGGTTCTTCTGGAGGTACCTGAAAAGGAATTTGGATTAAAGGTGGTCTTAGTGACCTGAGAGCGTGACCGCAGTGCCCAAGGGACAACTGCTTGAGGTCGGTCACACACGACCTTGTTATGGGTAATTTTTGTGTTAGCTCCGTACTTATTGAGACCTTACCGCCGGAGACGGATATCCGTGGGATAAGGCGAGGTGTGCATTTTTAGGGTCGACCTTTTCTAACCCCACCCCTCCTTGTGGGAAGGCAGCATTGCTGTCATGCTGGTTGTCTGAAGGAAACACCTTACTGCTGTCACACCTCTGTACAGTCAGCAGTACGACTTCGCCTTCGGACCTTGGGTTTGTTGCTTTTAGTCTTACCGCTCTTCAACCGACCTGTCTGACATGGTAGGACCTTGAGGAACAGTTGTTCCAGCCAGTATAGCTCGGTTGCTTCATCACGATAGGCAAGCCCGACCACCACGTCAAGGTAGCAACAACGGTCGGGAAAAAGATACGGCTTGAGAAAATATGATTTGGTGGAATAAAAAACCACTGACAAAGTATACCTTGTGTAAACACTAGGGTGAATATGAATATTTTATATGTGGAGAGCATAACTCTTACAAAACAAACTAAATAGTGCTTAAGCACCATTTTCTCGACCAGCGACAGTTACTAGTAAGTTAGAGGTAGGCTAGGAGTAGCTAAACTAATATGTAACATCGGTCCATGAATTCACTGGCTTTGTTTAGGTCACGTTGGCATATGCAAACTACTTGGTTGGGTCCTCTTGATGATCGTAAACAGTGGTTAGAAACGGGTGATGACTCAAATTCGTCTACAATGGTTCAGATTCATCTTTCGATTTTGAATTCCAGTATCCCTTTATATACACGTTTCCACTATGTCTTTGCAAACTATATTCCCAAGGTTTAGCATTTCTTTTCGATCTCGTTTTCACCTCAGTTAATCAGATATGGGAACTTCAGTCAACATACATCTGAGCTAGGTTCTATGTTAGTGTCTGTCTCCCAGATAGCACAAACTAATGGATCAGTCCAAATGTTGAAGCCAAAATAGAAAACAGTGAAAGAAATGGTGACTTAAATTAAGGCTAAGAGTCAGATAACGGCACGATCAAAAGCGGTGAACATAGCTTTCAAAGAGACAAAATCCGTCCCTAGTTTAATCATTTGAAATATGATGAAATCAAACAACACTAAGCCAGCCAAACGTCAAGCACAGAATCGGCAGTCAGTCGGATCTCCGATCAGGAATATACTACCAAATAATTTGGGAGTACATATTACCAAAGCAATAAGAATTGGTGAGTTGGCGATGACACTCAACCTCGAAAAACTTTGAAGTTAGTACTCGGAAGTAATTATGAAAGAAAATTATTAAAGAAGCACATCAAATTCAACAATCGACTTGTAGTTAGTTTTCGCAATGTGAGATAGAATTAACTGATTACTGCCTAATTTAGTCAGCTATCTGAAATACTATTTTATAGACTGCTTACGTTATACATACTTGTTTTTGAAACCACTACCTACATCACTGCTGTTCGTTATTTCTGAAGTCTTTTTAAGATTTTTTTGTTACCTAACTTTCAGCTGTTAGATGTTGTTATGATTTTATGTCCGGCTTTTTATCACGTGATTTATCCACCAATCAAAATACGTCTTATACAATCTTAACACTATGCCAAACCAATGATGTTCAACCGGTATGAGCAGTCTAGCGTCCTTATTGGTCCTATGTCCTCTTAGCCCGTCCACTTGAGTCCAGAACACAATACCAGCTTCTGCAATTTGAATCGAATCGTTTATTTCAGACATACTCGGTTTATACATCAATCAAACAGACCGCAACGTACCATAAAATAGAAAATAACGTGTACACAAATAAGCCAAAAAGTGGCTGTGAACGCGTGAGATAGTAATTAATAGACTGATCATAGCTTAAGAACCGTAAATCGTATAATAATAAATTATAGATCAAAATAAAACTTACAATAAGGGGAATATAAATATACATAATCTAATTGTTGATTAATTATACAATAAGAATATTTATAGAACATTAGTCCATTAATAGTCCTTGGAAGTTACCCGTAATTTAATCTTCTCTGGGATAGATGTTATAGGGATTCAGTCGCCTAGAAACACAAGTTCTGATAACCTTATGAGTTTGAACCTAACACTTAGTTTGGTTTAATGTCTCGCTTCGTCCATAAATAGCTCATGTAATAGTTGATGAATCATAGCTATTCGAGCAAAAACTAGTAATAAGCATCAATGTTTGCTAATTTTTTCAGTTTTTCTCACTAGACCGCTTAACGGAAAAATGCATCGCTAACTGTAAGTATAAGACACAATTTGAAATACTATAGGCTCCATTGTCTTGTGGATCAGACCTTTAGGCCAAAGGCTCCAAGTGTGGCCTAAGAAAACCACGTGTTTCGGTTTGGGCACCCGGGCAGTACCACAGCCCTCACACAAATCAAATGAGATTTGTGTGGCGCATATGTATGTGGTAACCCCTTGTACTAATATCTGTGTTCAAATAAATAAATTTCCTAATCGATAAAGTTTTCTCTTTCAGGTTTCGTACTACTATCTTTTTATCCTAAATCCTTGTTATGTCTACGTTACCTGAAGGTTGGGTATCTCGAATCAGCTCTAGTAGTGGTTTGTTTCTAGTTTCTCTTTATAACTAACCAAATGTTTTATGAAGGAAAACCATACTATGTTAATACAGTTACAAATGAGTCACAATGGGAATATCCTCAGCATCCAGTCATATCCACAAATAAAGTTCGATGCTTACATTTACTAGTGAAGCATAATGAATCTCGACGTCCCTCATCTTGGAAACAACAGAATATCACTCGATCTAAAGATGAAGCCTTAGATTTAATAAAAAGTAAGTTTATCACTACTTTTTGTGCACAACACTAAACTATATATTGACTTCATACATTTCTCTTAAGCTTGATGTATGTGTTGCATTGAAACAATATTACTAGATATTGAAAGTCATCTAATTAAATGTTCATTGGACATAATAAACAGAAAGTGAACAGGAGTCTGTAGAAGAGCTTTTACTGTTTTCAATAAAAGGTCAATATGGAGACCAATAATGGTCAAATAAACATTTTTAATCTGTTAGTATTCCGTTAAAATTAAAAACTCAACTAAATTAGATACTAAAAAACATGTGGCTAGAGTTCAAAGGGTTTACAGGTCACCAATGTATGGTAAATATGGTTTTTGGGGTTAGATATTTCAAAGAAAGAGTGTATCGTATTAATAAATTGGCTATCCTTTCTCATAATTAGAAATTCATGCTTTCTGATATATGTTTATATATATATACTTTTAAAGCTTAACGATTGTGTATTTTTGGGGGGATTATGTGCTTCTTAGACTACAATAAAGGATTAAAATGACCATTGAATAAATTGGTGTAAAAAATAATTCCGAATGATGAGAGAGGCCAGCGAAAAAGATATCGGTATCTTTTCTCTCATTTCACATCAAACTATTCTTATACAAATGCCAAGAATTTCTCTGTGATTGGAGAAATGTATTCAATGGAAATCTAAGACTTTATTTGTTTTTATCAATCTATACTAAATTAACTGAATATAGTCGTCAAGATACACAAATGAACTGGTCCTAAACCCTACATAACTAGGAAAAAGAATCTTTTCTCAAGTGGAGAAACATCTATTTGAAAAGTCACGAACCTGGAATGTTTTAGTTCCTAATTCAGTTATTTTTGGTCAATATAAATGAATTCAATGTTCAAAATATGCATCCCTGTTTCACTGCAATTTATGTACAAATATAGAATCGATTAATGTTTATAATTTACACTGAGTTACCGATGGGTAGTAATTGATGTATTATTGTTTAGTCCTGGGCTTTGATTTCAAATTCTCTTGACCTGATTTCAATGTAGCCATTAGTTTAATTGAATATAGTGTACACCATTTTTAAGATGAGGCTTTTGGAAACAGTCGCCAGGATGCCATCTCTGACCCCTAGATTTCTTGTTCGTTGCAAGTCGGGAGCTAAGACGTACCTGTTGTGGTGTTTCCTGTGAAATATGGACTCACTTCATTCAACGCCTTAATCAGAAGCATTCCCACTGAGATATTCAGCTTATAGCTGAACTGGCGTTGTTGTAAGATTGAAGTGTTCTCATTGACTGATTACAGTTTAGTTTGCCTAATATAGTTCGTACTTATTCTTCATATTCACAAGTGTGTTTCTTCTTTCCTCTCGTCTTTTCTCTTTTAGAATACAAACAACAAATTGAAGCTGGTGAATATACATTTGAAGAACTTGCTCGAACTGAAAGCGATTGCAGTTCAGCTCATTCTGGTGGTGATTTAAATTTCTTTAGTCGTGGTCAAATGCAAAAACCATTTGAAGATGCTGCATTTAAATTAGAAATTGGTGAAATGTGTGGTCCTGTATATACAGATTCTGGAATTCATTTAATCAAACGAATTGCATAATAAAACAATAATAGGCAATTAAATTGAATATAAAATTTGAAATATTTCACCCTTTTGCATTTGATTTAAATAAAAGATCATGTTTATTAATAGTACTTGATTTCCTTTCTTTCTTAAAAGTCAGTAACCCAGTATTTCAGTTAACCCCGACCCTTGTTGCTACCTTGACGTGGTGGTCGGGCTTGCCTATCGTGATGAAGCAACCGAGCTATACTGGCTGGAACAACCGTTCCTATTATTCAACGTACGATTTCAGTTAACTGTTTATGTATTGTAAATTTTCTACTTTTTTGGACTGAAGTGGTTAATAGTGATTTGGGAATTAGTTTTGTATATCGTTTTATGATGTTTTGTCTTATGTAAGTTGAATTGTCTATTCCTTAAGTTTTTTTTTATATTTATAGCATAATGCTAGATAATATCGCATCAACAGTGAATGAGAACTCTTTACTTTTCTCTATATTGAAAGAGTTGATTATACTAAAGTATTTTATTATAATTAATGTTTCAGACCAACATCATAACTAGAACATAGAACTAGGAATTTAAGAGTAGATTACACGAGATTGGGACCTGTGACTGGTTAAAACACCAAGTAACAACTCAACATTAGTCTTGATTGTAAATCGACTTGAGTTTCTGTAATCCATCTAACAAATTATATATGTGAATTATCCATCCAATTAATCAGTCATCAGCAACGTAGAATCTGACACATGCATATTTATAGGTTCAAGTTGTCACACTACATTGGTGCGATTAGATGAAATTACCAATATAATTGCCTGAGTAGTAGAGCCCCCAAATGCCCTGGTACGACCGACAGTGGGCACAGTCAGCTCTCCCTCTCGAAATGCTCTCACATGGCCACGCGTATATAGCCTCTGTCAGGGAAGTCCTACTCACTGCCTTCTGGTGGCGGGGGTGTTGTTTACGAAATTGAGATTACGTAAAGCGAATGTCCGGCGCTTTTACCAAGTTGGTGGACACCGTGAGTTGACCTAGGGGAGTTGGAAAACCGTGATTTCAAACCAATGGTGCACATGGGCTCCAGGATCCTGGAGGAACAAATGGCGTATGAACCAATCGTTGGTCACCGGCTATCATGGGACTGCATCTCCTTACGTTGCTCCACTGCCTTGTGGATTAGACCTTTAAGTCGAAAGCTCGGGGTGTGGCTCCCTAAGAAAACCACATGCTTCGGTTTGGGCACCCAGACAGTATCACAGCTCTCACACATACCAAATGAGATTTATGTGGCGCATATGTATCCGGTGACCCCTTGTACTAATATCTATTTGTTCAAATAAATAGGTAGAGTAGTAGAAATACTAGTAGTGTTAGCCTTCGTAGAAAAGATTAGGCATAGGAAACATGATTTATGAAGAAAATGAATTCTCAGGAGTACAGTGTAGCTTTAAAATTGAGAATCTAAGAGAAGACAAATTGACCGGGTCTATGGTGATTTGTAGCTCAGGTGGATGATTTTGATGGAGTTTTGTTCTCTGAGCTGGATGGTTTGGTCATGGAGCTTTCATCGTTCTTCTGAACGACATCATCAGCACAAACTTCAGATAGAAGTGAAGTGTTCGAATTTCTCCATATGCGTTTCACAGCTTGTTCTGTACACCTTGACATTGATTGGTTCTTATTGACATTGTTTACTTCTTTGTTTTGGTTGTCTCCCATCGGTTTGATTTTTGTTCCTATATCTGTGCATAATTTTCCTGATTGGTTGATAAATTGGATCGATATCAATGTGCTTGTTGATTGCTGATTGACCTGAGTGCCAGGCTTCTAAGAATTCTCTGGTGGTTTTGGAATTTCCTCTGTCCAAGATTTTCACATTTCGAATGTGTCCGCAGTTGTCCACGTGTATTGATATAAGTGAGAAAGTATCATGGCGTTTGACTGCTAATTGGTGTTCATTTAGGTGAAGGGGGCGTCCGCTTTGTCCGATGTAGTGCTTTTCTCAGTTGGCACAATTTATTTTGTAGATGATGCTAGGTTGGTAACCATTTCAAGTATTTATCTGAGACTAATCATAAAAAAATAGTTTCCCACCCCGTATTTATTTAACAGAAAGCATTTGACAATGCTTCTAGGATTCCATAGAATTAAGGTTTGTTCGGTCAAGTAAAGGATGAAAGTGTTATAAATTTCTTATGAATTCAAAGACTTGTATTGTGAGTTCGAATTCCTATAACTCCTACTATCTGTAAGAGGCGAATTCAAACCCCACAAAGAAAACTAGTAAGAACATGATAAATCACTTTAAATGACCTATTTCTATCTACTACATGACTGCGATCGATCAAGTGAGGTTACGCTTTCCTAACCATGAAGAGAGATGTTCACTAACTCGGATCAGTTATTTGGTTGTGCACCCTGTATAGCTTTCTCCATAAGAGCAGCTGAATTCGTAGATACACATAGATGTGGCTGAACCAGGTAACTTCTCCTTTAGTTGAGGAATCACTATAGGTAGGATGGAGAACGATAGACATTAAACGTCCTCTTCATTATCCTGGTCATTTTATCTCGTAGCATATCACCAGCTATATCCGTTGAGTTGTAGCTTCAGGATGAGAGGTTTCTTACTAACCGTTGATGCCACTATCTTCCTGTTGGCTGCATGGAAGCATTTCTTCAGAAAGCTTTATGGATAACTTATTTCAATCGACATATTATGAATACGCCCTGGTTTCTTGTTTGTAGTATCGTCTGAGCAAATCTTCCTAGCTCTGTTTGCCCACAAATGCCCTGGTACGGCCGAGAGTGGGGTGTTCAATGAGATCCAGTTATAGAAATTTGTATATTGACCATTTCAATAAATAGTTTCTTAATGAGAATCAATCAAAAGTTTGTGAGCTTCAAATGGTTTAAAAATTTAGCAATTTATATATGAACTCTGTGTACACAGACAGTAAGTACAACTTGTAATTATACCATGTCTTTCCTACAACTTCTAGTACATCTTAGTATGATTAATAAACCAAGAATTTTATAATAAATTGGCTAGATACCATCAGCAATAGCCGACTGTAATAGAGGACAAACCAGCTTCAAGCTTGAGGAAATTAGGAAAAGATGTTGGAAATGAATAGGGTATACATTACAGAGGCAGATCTTCACTTGGAATCCTGAAGTGAAACGGATAAGTGGAAGGCCAAAGAACACACTGCATCGAGAATTTGAAATAGACATGAAAAGAATGAATAGCAACTGGAAAGGAATTTCCAGGACAGTTGGATGAAGAATGCTGATGATAGGCATATGCCCCTCCACGAGGGTTAACAGGCGTAATGAAGTAGGTAAGTACACTTGTTAGTAGCTTCACGATGAATTGTCTACGTTCAAGTGAGAATTCTTGGCAGCGGAAGTTTAACCGTGTTAAGAGTGAAAGACAATTACATAGTGTATTACATAACTGTTGCTTTATATTCCTAATTTATTAAAGTTGGATATATGAAGCAATAGGTGTGAACTTATAGCAGCTCTCATAAAATTCACTTTTGCTCACAGCTAATGTTGTTCAACACTTCGCTTAGCATCGTTTTGATTTCACTATAAATACACCTCTGTATACGCTCACATATACACACATATAAGCCTCTGTGCTCCAATTCGCTCGATGTGTTTGTAACCTTGTTATCTGTGATATCCGACAATAAACTATAGTAGACGTTTATTGATACCTTTCGAATTTATACACCGTTGGGATATATTTACTAACGGTTATCAGGCTGATTGTTAAACGATGCGAAGCCACTACAAACTCACTGATTGAAGGGTTAGACGATCACTATGTGACTTGAAAGTTGAGAATTCAATCCCTTATGGGAACATTGGTAGATGTCTATGAGAAGTCCTATTTTGTAAGTGAGTAGTTATCTACTGATCTCTTGTTTTCATCAGTACTTCAATGGAAGTTGTTTAATATCATAAGTAAATGTTAGTTTTAACTAAAACACTGATTTATGGTAGTAACGTTAGAATAATGATAATAGATGATTTTCACTGAAAGGTACTTTTAAGAATTGTACATTCAAAAAGACTGTTTTCTTCTTCCCTGAGTTTATATGGCCTTCTTTAAAAGGTTTTATTGCATAATTACTACTAAATTATCTAACAATGTACTTATTCATACTGTACGGAGCTGAAACTTAGGGAACTACTACAACTATCATCAAGAAGGTACAAGTATTTATAAATAATTGTCTTGCAAGATAATCGATATACAATGGCCGGATACAATCAGCAACAGCCTTTTGTGGGAGAGAACAAACCGTTTTCCAGCTGGAGAGGAAATTAGGAAAAGACAATGGAAATGGATAGGACATACACTACACAAATCGTCAAACTGCATTACGAGACAAGCTCTAACTTGAAATCCTGAAGGAAGGCGGAAAAGAGAAAGGCCAAAGAACACATTACATCGGGAAATAAAAGCAGATATGGAAAGGATGAATCACAACTGGAAAGAGCTGGAAAGGATTGCTCAGGACAGGATTGGATGGAGAATGCTGGTGAGAGGCCTATGCTCCTTCACGAGAAGTAATTTAGTATAAACTTACTTAACTGAACTCTTATTTTAAGCTCAATTATGATTATGTTATTATGCCCAATAGTTTGTAAAAACGTTCTATCAAATAGGATGTAAGCTTTCCCTTTCGAAATACTCTCATATAACCAATTGTATACAACCACTGTCAGGGAAGTCCTACTCAATGCGTTCTCGCGATATTACTGTTATTTACATAAATGAAAGAAGGAAAAGTAAATATCCAGTGCTTTAATCAGGTTGGTGAACCCTCCGTGTCCATCTAGAAGAGTTGGAAAACCAAAAGGGAAATTCTATAATAAATCTATATTTACATATATATATATATATATATACAAAGTTTTAAAACAAATTTTCTCATATATAAAAAAGTTTTTGTTTTGTTTTCATTACATCACAGATAATAATTAATTCAATGTAATTCTAGAGAAAAAAAAAGAAGAAGAAAATAATCAATTATGAAATGATCAGTTCAACTAAATACATTTTCATCCTCTCCTTCTCCTTCCTCCTCCTCCTCCTCCTCCTCCTCCTCCTCCTCCTCCTCTTGTTCATTCTCTTCATCCTCCCATGGGCGCCAATATTTATTCATGCTTATTTCTTTTTGTAAATTATTGATTTTTTGTATTTGATTATATTCATAGAACTGATTATTTTGTTTTATTGATTTATTGATTTTTGATTGCTCAAATGAATGAATGAATTGATTATTATTATTATTATTATTATTATTATTATTATTCGATAATTTTAATCCTTTCCTTTTATTGATTTTTATTTTCATTGTTTTTATGGCTGTTGTTAATGGTGATGAGATTGGCGCGGATAATTTCATATTTAAATTTTGATTTCTATTAAAATTTTCAATATTTTCTATGATTTCAATTAATTTATCTAATAATTGTATATCGGACATCTATTGTTTTAAAATAATAATAAAAAAATATAATAAGAAAATTAAAGAAAAGAAAAGAAATATAAAATTGAAATCTAATATCCACCGTTGAAATCATGATTATTAGTCAATTGAAGCTAGACCACCATGGAATACCTGGAGACAGTAGACGGTCGTTTCATTCTGGTATAAGACTTCATAGTAGTGTTCATTCACGATTCGAGTACAAGACTTGTCAGTCACGCACGCGAACACTTAATCTCTAGATTACTGAGCTGGCCAATATTCAACAGTGTTAATGTATAACTTTAATCCATCCCTGAAATTGAGACACCGTCTATCATTGCGTAGGTGTGCGAGATCGATAGGTTCTGAATTCAAATCCCTTGAGACAGAATCGTGGATACATACTGTTGTGGAGTGCCACAACAGAACGAAGCGACCGTCTAGTACTTCCAGGTTTTCCATAGTGCTCTAGCTTCAATTGACTCATGAATTTCAACTATTAATTTATATACAAACGGAAGTCAGATATCAATATTTAACTAGTTTTCTTAACAGAAATGAAAAGTGTAATTAACCTATTTTTTAAAATAAGTTAGTCTCTTTGATAAACTTTGATAATGCCATGAGGAGGTGAAGGTTATCGGAATTATGTAATATGTTTGAGCAATACATTTCGAACAATCTCATTACACATAGACATGTTAATAACATTTATATGTGTAAACTAAAAGGTCAACTAGACAGATTAAAGGTAACAATGAAAAATAAAGTGCGCCAAAACGATTTACATATCAAATTCACTTGGTGTTGTTTACTTGTATCTTCCCATTGTTATTTAGGACTGCAATTGATCAGTCTCTTGTTGGCATATATCCATCATGTGAGGATTGCCTCGATATTGCCTTAAGTCATAAGTTTTTTAAGAAAAGATGGATAGTGGTTAGTGGTGGAATCCAAGACGCGCGTTTCGTCCTATTTGGGACTCGTCAGTTTATATGTATACGCGGAAATATGTACATAGGAAGGAGTAATTGTGATCTGTAAATTAGGGTGGCGGAACACATACTTAAATGGCTACAGAATACAAATGAATTCTAATTGTCAAATAAGATCACAGGATAGACAGACATCTTTCTCTATTGAGAAACATTCGGTTGAGACTGGTCATAAGGTTATTATCAAGTCAGCATTTGTAGTGTTGTACAAAAGCCTTCAAGGGTATATACTAAGATTTATTGAGGCCTTGGCTATACGGAAACTGAAACCTCCTTTATGCGTTCAAAAACAATTTGTCCCTACCCTGGTAATACTGATTTATTATCCAAAGTGGTTATCACATTGTTTTTGTTTACTTTATTTTTTATTATTACGACTTACCTTTAATCTGTCTGGTTGACCTTTTAGTTTTCATACGAAAATGTCTTAACAAGTATATGTGTAACCTTTTCTATTGCTCATCGTCAAGTACTTGTTCCTACTTATTTTCATAGGTTAGAATATGGATTTAGAAAAGGCAACCAGTTAGGATCACTATTCCTTATCCAATATAATGAAGTTTACCTAAAAGTCAAGTACATAGAATTATACTTAGTTAATAAGTTTAAGTATTCAACCATCAGATGGTCGTTTGAGGTAGTCAACAGGAAACCCTGGACCCGGGTTTCGTGCTATCTGGCATTCGTCAACAAGGTGTGCCTGTAATCTTAAGGGAACTGATGCACGCCGATGGATTCGATCTAAGGTCACCCACCTTCACAATCAGAAACGTTACCACTGAGCTATCCGAGCCACGACTGGTTTCTTGTAGGTCTTACATATATTTACAACTGACTGATCAATGGGTGGTAATCAATGTCATGTGTATCAATTCCTTCTTAGTGCAGATCAAATACTATCGACCAAGTAGCAATGTGGCCACTAGTCTAGGTGAATCGACATTGCGTGCACTATATAGGGATGAGATGGTGGTTGGAGGTATTTGACAAGAAACCCTAAACCCGGGTTTCGTACCATCAATTACATAACCATGAACTCATTCTGTAATTCACCCGATTTAAACTAAACAACAAAGTTGGTCATTAAAAAGAGTCTAATAATGAACTAACCTTTTCACCACCAAGAAATGAATGTATTCGATCATATTCAATTCTTTCTAGACGTCGACGATATTGTTCTATTGATGCTTTTGTAAATTTTATCTAATGAAGTATAATCAAGATAATTTCATTATAAGCCTGATATATATTTATATGCAGTGAAGAGTTCTTAAATTGTGTTTTTTTTCTCTCTCTCAGATATAGATATCACTAGCTATTTGAAACATATTTAATCATCATAATACTTGGGCATTTAATAGTTGAATTCATGAGTCAGTTGAAGCGAGACTATCATGGAAAACCTGAAAATACTGGATGGCCGTTTCATCCTAGTATGGGACTCCTCAGCGGTGCTCATCGACGATCCTACCCTTGTGAGATTTAGAAAATAGCAACCTAGTATTTAAGTAGTATATCAAAATTGGTGATATTAAACCGCTTCGAAAATCTAATGATGCTGTTAAGAAAATATTGAATAATAGTAGACTATCTGAGTAGTTTAGCGGCAATATTGGTTTCCTTAATAACAAATTCATGTGTAGCATAATAGTAACATTGGATTCAACTTTTTTTAATCATTTGGATGCTTTCTAATTTCAAAAATTATTTTTATTCATTGTTTTTATACCTATCCATTCTTCATCACGGTTATTGTTTCTGTTAGGTGTTCACTCAAGATCAAAGTCCTTGGTTCAAGTCCCGTTTGGGGGATCGTGGATGCGCACTGCTGAGGAGTCCTACATTACAATGAAATGGCCGTCCAATGCTTCCAGATTTTTAATGGTGGTTTTAACATTGATCGGTTCATAATGTCAATGTTATTTACTATAAGTCGACTGCCATTTGGGGTTTCATTGATCACTCTGTTGGTAGTTCAACTGTTTGAATGGACGCCTAGATGATGAATTTTTTTGTGTGTTCCTTAGTTAGTTATATCATGAATAGTAACTAGTAAGCTATATCAAAGGATCCATTGAAAAAAGTTATATGATAATCAAGACTAATCGAGACATTATTTATCATCAACTAAAAGCAGCAAGTGATAGGTGTCCTGAACTTCGGAACTTACTGAACTTCTAATTTATGCCTATTGAGTTCTAGTCTCAGTGAGAACATCAGCATAGAGATGTAGATATGTCCAGCTTTTAAATTCCCAAAAAGAACAAAGAATATATTTAAGAATTGATTGTTTCTCACTAATCGAATCTCTAATTTTATCAAATTTAATGACAGAAAAATAAGGGGAAATACTTTGTAAATTCACTTGGTGTTGCTAACTTGTATTTTTCAGTTATTATTTGGAACTGCAATTGATCAGTCTCTTGTTGACATATGTGCATCATGTGAGGATTGCCTCGATATTGCCACAAGCCTGTTAAACAAATATGGATAGTGGCTAGTAATGGAATTCAAGACGCGCGTTTCATCTTATTTGGGATTCGTCAGCTAGATGTACTTGCATCTTGAAATTGATGTCTACTCCGGGACTCGAACCCAGTACCGTTTGCTTCAAACGCCATGGCGTTATTCACTTAGTTACTAACTCCTGAAATACTTTCTTCATTCAAAACGTTATTTACGAATAAAAATATCTGTTTAATAAAGAATTGAATTTGTAAACATTCAAAAAGATAACGATATTAATATTCATTACCTTGTCAGTTATTGAGTCATTATGTAAAAGGAATTTAATTTGTTCATATGGCTTAGGAGTTATAAGACATAATGGATCTGATTTATATTCAGTAGTAGAAGTGTTTGTTAAAGGTATACCAATCAGTTTGTCAGCTGCATATTTGAGTATTTGAATTCGTGTCATCTACAATGCAATAACAAAATTAACTATTGAACAAGGTGTAGAAAATCAACGATACAGACAATATGGAATAATGTCATTTGTATTAATATATTGTGTTAACAGCAATCTTCCTAGATCCATCAAACTAGGAATCCTACAGATGGCTGAATCAATTGCTGTACGGATTAAACAGCCAGAGCTTTGAGTACAAAAGAAGCATGTCCAACCGCTCCTATTACCTTGGCCAACGATCCCGCCCCGCGGGATTCAAACTCAGGATCTATTAGTCTCGTTCTCGAACGCTTACTCTCTAGACCACTGAGTCGGCTGGCATCCAACGGTGTTAATATCTAGCTCCAATCAATCCACGAAATTGAATCACAAATCCACAATTGTCTTCAGTGGGTTACCATCTCACAACAGACCTGCTTGAACTTCATTTGGTCACTGCTTCTCACTAGAACTCCAGGAAATACCTCTTGAAACCAGTCACTAGTAAGCATATGCAGATTAATATCATATTATTTTATATGACAAACAATCTTTGATTCATATTATCAATTTTAAATGTACTTCGCCTTAAACCTGATCACCATTTGGATAATTAATTTGGATATGTGATAATTATAGAACCTGATGAGAAATTATTAAGAATATTCTTCACTCACAAATTTGTGTTTTAATATAATCGGAACTTTTCAGTTTATTTATTTAAACACATAAACATTGGTAGGAGGATGCACCAAATAGATATGCGCCACACAAATCATTCGATTTAAGTTAGAGCTGCGATACTGCCTGGGTTCCCAGACTGAAGCAGGTGGTTTACTTAGAAAGTCACACCCGAAACCTTCTATTTAAAGGTCTAATCCATAAGGGAGTGGAGCATCGTAAGGAGATGCAGTCTCATGGTAGCCGGTGACTAACAGCTGGTCCATACACATGATCCTGGAACGCATGCACATCATTGATTTGGAATTAGAATTTTCCAAGCTTAATATACCGTCTAGTCGTCAATGTTTATTAAGCCAGCAATTCGTGTTAACTAACATTGATGTCTTAATGAAATTTATTGTAGACATAGAATTTAGTGTGCAGATTTGTAAATTTTAATATCTGACATAAAGAAAGCATGTTTAACCTGAAAACAATTGATTCTTATTCAATAAGTCAACTATACATAACTCAGTCTGTTAATCAGAGAAAATATTACTGAATTATTGTATTGGTAAGTGTCATGCTTTAAGGTCCCGAGATCTGACTCCAATTAAATCGTATGATTGATCGTTATTGAATGATTGCTATCGAAATATTATATATGTTACCTGGCTATTCTAGTATATAATGATCGAATTAAATTACGTTGATGAATAGCGGAATTAAAATAAGTCAAATAAGAGAATGGATTTTCGAATACATATATTTTGTACACTTGTTGATCTGGACAGACAATTAGACGGACGAAGTGGATAGAAGAGTGAGAAGCGAAATGATGCGCGGTGAAGAAGGCATGTGAACCAACTCGATTTAATCAAGCGTTAATCAATATTTTTATAGTTAGGTAAAAATAAGCCACAGATGTATGATGAGTAGGATAAGACGTACACACTCACACATACGTTCATATAAAAACAGTCAAGGTTGATAAGTGAATAATTAACAAGATCAAAACATGACTGAAGAATAACGAATAAAATTGACCTGTCCCGAAGCTAGAATAAGGTGATATGGGCTTAACATAGTAACTGACACTAAAATGTCTTTCAAGTTTCTAAATGATTTTCTATAATACAGTAAGAAAGATTACGCATAAAACTTACATCTTTACTGAGTGCTAATATATTGCGAAGATGATCTAGACGATGATTTATTTTCTTACGTCGTAATCTTTCTGCATCTACCTTCTTTGTTGAAAAGAAAAAAAAAATTTACTGAAGTATATTTATTCATTTAAAAATAGTCAATAAAATGAATAAGTAAAGATTTGAAAGGGAAGTTGGATAACAAAAGAGAGAAATAGATGTATTACTATTGTAGTCGAATGGGAACATAAGTGAGGACAATTGAATCTCTTAATAAAATCTGAGAATCATACAGTAAATAGTTCATTTGCAAAATATTATAATCAGAAATGGGTATTGTGAATACTATAGTAATTTAATAGTTAAATTCATAAGTCAGTTGAAGCTAGACTACCATAAAAAACCTGGAAGCAGTGGACGATTATTTCGTCCTAGTTTGGGAATCCTCATAAGTGCGCGTTGAGGATCCCGCCTTGGGGGATTCGAACTCTAAGCCTTCGGTCTCGCGCTCGACTGCTTAACCTCTAGATCACTGAGCCGGTATCCAACGGTGTTAATTTACGAAATCACATGATCATCTTCAATCGTACTGAAGTAGATACCTGGATACATGGATTAGCTTCGGTGATCACGATTTCTCACTAGAACTCTAAGAATTCTCTCACGAAGCTAGTCACTAATCAGCATATGGTAATTATCAGTATTAGGTTATGAATATTGTTAAGTTTTCAATTGAGATCATGAATCGATTACTGTTAGATGATCATTGAAAACCTTACTGTACTGGATGATCGTTTCATTCTATTGCGAGACACCTCAACAGCACGTTCACACAAGAGATCAGAGGATTTGAATTCGATTCCCACGACTAACATCGTGGATGCACACATTTCAAGTTTTCAATACTACCCTAACAATATTAATCCATTCATAATCTGAATCAAAAATTGTTTACAATCTCCACAATATTATCAGAATATAACTTACTTTTTTCTTACGTTCATCCATTATTTCCATTTTGTTTATTATTATTATTATAATCAATGTTATTACTATCCAGTCTATCTATCCATGTACAAACGTCATTCCGTCTTGTTTGTTTTTTATTGTTGCTGTTGTTCTTCTTTTCTTTTTTTTTTAAAATAAAACGAAACAAAATAAAAAAGAAAATATTCTCTTTTTATTGATAATTTCACTATTTATAGTTTTCTTGATTATTGATCTCACTCATTTCACGGTTGGTTTCTTAGAATATCATTGATTGATTGATTGATTGATTGATTGATTGGTTAATTAATTGTAGATTATTCATTAACATACCATGAAAAATGATAAATATATCTTAGATGGATCAATCACATTTCCGCCCCCCCCCCCCCATCTTTGAAATTCTATTTGGATTTTCTTTATTATTGTTGATGAATATGATCTTGTAAGAACGGCAACAACAACAACAACAACAACGACAACAACAATCAAAATGATATTTTGACAATCATGTTTATTCATGTGTAGAATTTTTTTGGCGTTTTTCATTTTTGTTTTTTTTCCTATTTTTTTTCTTTTTTCTTTCACCTTCCTCCCACCCCTTTCTCTTTCCAAAAAAAAAATAATAATTATTTATTTATAATATTTTAATCCTACATTTAATACTTTCAAATGGTTGTTGTTTTACTGAGATCATTCATTTCATTATCATCAAATAGAATGTGAAGATTATTTATTCATTAAAATTTAATGTTTGCTGTATAAACACGAGTTGTTTATGACGATGATGATGATGATGATGATGAAGGGATGTTTTGATTTGCCACTGGGTTTTTTCTTGTTGGTGTTCTGTGTTCCCTTTTTTCGAATCGATATTTGTGTTTTTTTTGATCATTTTTTGTTTGTTTGTTTGTTTGAAATTATTGTTTTAGTTGTGGTATACTGTAATTCGAAATCTTTTTTTACTCACATTTATATGCGTACAATATATCTGTGAGTGTGTGTGTGTGTATGTGTGATTGATGAGTCTTTTTGTGAAACAGAACAAATCATAAGTAAACAAAAATGATCACAATTGATTGATCACTGGGTGGTGATCAATGTCATGCTTGTCTAGTCCTTATTATTAGTGCAGATCGAATGCTATCGATCATGTAGCAATGTGGTCACCAGTCTAGGTAACTCGACACTCTGGGCACTATATATTGAGATTTAAATGGTGGTTGGTGGTAGTCGACAGGAAACCCTGGACCCAGGTTTTGTGCTACTTGACACTCGTCAGCACATGACATTGATTACCACCCATTGATCAATCAATTGTAAATACATGTAAGTTCTACAGGAAATCAGTCGCGGTTCGGATATCTCAGTGGTAACGTCTCTGACAGTGAAGCTGAGTGACACGAGATCGAATCCGCCAGGGAGTAACAGTTCCCTCAAGATTACAAGTAGCACGGAACCCGGGTCCAGGGTTTCCTGTCGACTAACTCCAACCACTATCTAAACAAACATGACTATTTCAATGGTTGACATCATGAGTAGTCAATTGAAGACAGACCATCATGGAAAAATTGGAAGCACTGAACGGTCGTTTCATCCTAGTGTGAAATTCGTCAATAGTGCTTATCCACGATCCCGCTTCATGAGAGTCGGATGTATGACCTATCGGTCTTATGTGCCAGCGCTTAACAACTAGAACACTGAGTCGGCCGGTATCTAACGGTGCAACACATGCACCATTGCATCAGCAAGTTACTATCTCATTGGTCACTGCTTCTCAATAGAAATCCAGGTAATACCTGTTAAATCCAATCACTAGTGAACACGAGACTAATAACTCCTGACTTTGAATCTTGCGAGGCGTGATCGTGGGTGAGCACTGCTAAGGAGTCCGATACTAGTAAGAAACGATCGTCCAATTCTTCAACGTTTCTCATGGTAGTCTAGCTCCAATTGACTCATGATCTCAACCATTGAAATTATTATAATATCCGCAAAAACCCTTTCTGATAAAAATAAACCTATTGAAGAAGAAGAAGAAGAAGAAGAAAAACTAATATAAGAAATGAATTGAAATGGCAGAGTTTCATTTAAATAGATAAAAGGAAAACGTGTATGTATGTATGTATGTCTGTATAGATGAAGTGAACAGTTTCTCTACTGATCTTTTTCATGTCATAACTTCTTTATATCCAATTATTATTATTATTAATTATCAATTATTATCCTTGAATGCATTCAGATAGAAATCTTCTTTAATATTCATAACGATGATGATGATGATGATGATGATAATGATAAGGATAAGGATTGTAAGATAATGTGATTGTATGTGGTTGATTAGTTGACAGGTTTTGAAAATTGAATGACAAGAGTAAGGTGTGAAATAGAGAAAGTGATTAGAAAAAAAAAAGAGAAAAAACAACGAAGAAGAAAGAGAAGAAGAAGAAAAAGAAAACGACTGATTGATTTCATTACTTCCTGTCAAATATTTGAGAAATTGAAATCATAATTATAATCTGATTAGAATTTAACAACAACAAAAAAAAGATTTAACCAATTTTTTTTCTTGGTTATTTTGAAGGAACTCGAGAAAAAACAGCAGCAACAACAACAACAACAACAACAACAATGGAACATCAAATGTTCCGAATGAATAGTTTTGAAATTTGAATCCAATCAAATGGATTAGTGTTCAGATGATAGTTGAAGATAGTCAATAAGAAATCTTAGATCTGGATTTCATACGAATTGGAACTTGTCAGCATGGTGTATCTGTAATCTTTAGAGAAATGATACTCTCTTGTCACTTGGTATGACAATCAGAAACGCTAAAATTGAACTATTCAAACCACAATTGATCTCCTGTAAAACTGAGATGTATTTACAATTGATTGATTATTAGGTGATGATCAATGTCATGTGTGTTATGTCCTTCTTAGTTCATATAGAATCCATCAGGAAGCATCAGTTCTGCCAAGATTACAGATACAACTTGTTGACGAGTGACAAGTAATACGAAACTTTGGTCGGAAGATTTCTGTTGACTACTTCCAACCACCATCTTATCTCAAAATAATGCACGCAAATTCTAGTCACCTACACTAGCAGCTATATTTCAACTTGGTCGATAGGATTCGGTATACACTAAGAAGGACCTGACACACATAACATCGATCACCACCCAGTGATCAATCAATTGTAATCAGTGTTCGTTTAGAATGTTCAAAGGAATTGTTGAATTTTTAGATAAGAAACCACTAGAAACATAAATACATCCTATATCTGAATTGCTGTAATATGGGCCTCTTTAGTAGAGGAAATCCACACATCAAATAGAATTTTAATGCAAGACCTGCATGCTTCATGGTAAACATTTAATATTCTGGTTGCTGAGTCATTTCTCAGTGGTTTACAATTTTAACTTTAATTATTTAGCGATGTTGTGTGAATATTATCCAGGACCACTAGTAGGTAACTGCCTCAACCCTCACATGTTTAATCTCTTTTGGTCATGACTTTTAACTGTAACTCTAGGGATTTCTGAGATGCTAAATACTGACAAACTCACATTAAAAAAACTGCATTTCTTGGCATGTTTTCTGCTTAGTATACTCTACAAAAAAAAACAAGGGGTGACTATTTTGGAACTCGAGACTCTAATTACACTAAGCTAGGAAATGTTCAAAATTCAACTTTCTATTTAATAAAATGCTAAACATACATATTCCATTATAAAAATAATTCACCTTATGATCGATTTATTTGAAGTTATCAAGTGAGACCGTTGTAATAATACCTAGAAACTTCTTCTATACACAAAGACGGATAGTGCCTTATAGTGTAATTTCAAGACGCGCGTTCCACCATATTTGGGACTTGCCAGCTGGATGTACCTGCATCTCAGAGTTGATGTCCACTCTTAGACTCGAACTCAGTATTGTTTGCTTCAAACACCATTGCGTTATCTACCTGGCTACTGAGTCTTGATAACCACTTGCCTGTGCAGTTAGGTAGTGTTTGCACCAAATGATATTGGGTTCGAGTCCCAGAGTGAACATCAACTCCGAGATGCAGGTACATCCAGCTGACGAGTCCCAAATATGGCGGAACGCGCGTCTTGGATTCCATTACTAGCCACTATCCATCTTTGCTTAAAATGCTTATGACTTAAGGCAATGTCGAGGCAATCCTCACATGATGCACATATGCCAACAAGAGACTGATCAATTGCAACCCTAAATAACAATGGGAAGATACAAGTAAACAACACCAAGTGAATTTAATATTTCTTGTATAAAGTTTACTAGTAGCCAAGATGATAGTTGTTAACTAAGAAGGGTAGTTTGCACATGGAAATGAATTTTAAGTTGGTTGTCATCAATAAAACAAAACTGATATGGGTTACAGAAATGTAGAAAATATCACTAAGGGCCTGAGATTCCATCAACAACAATATACTGTCATGGAGAACGAAACAGCTTCCAGCTTAAGAGGAAACTGGGAAAAGACGCTGGGGGTCATAGGACACATGTGGCAGAAACCACCAGACTGCATCACAGAACAACTCTTAACTTGGAATACTTATGCCTAAAGGAAAAGAGCTAGACAAAGAGACACATCGTTCCGAGCATCGGAAGCTGATATCAAAAGAATGAATGGCAATTGGCGATACCTGAAAAGGATGACAGAGTTGGTTGGAGAATCGCAGTTAGCGGGCTGTGCTCCACAAGGTGTAACAGGTGTCAGTAAGTCAGTAATTTGGGATTTTTCCACTCTAGCTTCAATTAGCCTTCCAATCTGAGAACAGTGTTTGATGTTAGGTGGTGGTCAGTCAGTTAGGAAACCTGTTTCACCTAGTTAGGCTTCATTGTAGATGGTATTAGTCGGCAAGACGCCGATTTAGCTGTTCTGTCTCTATTGGAGATTGCTAACTTGCATGAAACCTAACTACGTCGAGGAGAGTTCTCTGTCAATGATCTTGACACTGCAGAATAATTATTATGTGACTCCATCTAACACCCTTCTAG